GGTCTGAAATTAGAAAGTTGTTTTTAAGTAGGCTGCTATGTAGTATTATAGGCATCTGTTGTTCCTATTTTTTTTTTGTTTTTTTTTTGATTGAAGTGTGAGCATCATTGTTATTGTATAGCTAAAAATATTTAAAAATGCCGCAAATCGTTACTATCAGATCTACTATAATCACTCAAATAACTAGTTCTTCGAGAACTTGCCATATAATTTGTACAAATGAATTGAATTTTTCAGAACGTTTCTACCCCTCCTGTGTTGATTAGAAATCGGAATTAAAAATTACTATTACATTGGTAGTTCACAGGTGTGACAAAACAATCATAATTTTACTTAAACTGAGCACAGAGATTTAGTAAGGATATAAAACAGTTAGCCAGAAATTCTCAGAGACCTGACTACATTGCTCATTTGGGACTTGCTTTTATTGTGAATCTGATGACCGCTTAACAATCGGAGTAGTCCATAACTTATGTTATTGTTGCAAAGTAAGCTTGAAAAATGTCCACGTTTTAGTTCCCACCAACTTTTAGCTCGGAAACTGAGTTATCTTCCCAATCTTTTCTGGAAGTAATTCGCCTGAGAAATTCCTTTAAATGGTTGATATGTAGACTTGAAAACATAACGTAACTTTCTACAACTGATCTGCTTTGCTTTACAGTAAGGTTTCTAGAGATTTTGTAGAAGTGAGAAACCAACCTCACGTGACAGAACTTGCAGCGTAGAGGGAACAGAGGCAACCCGCGAGATAGGATCCTCACATCGAAGCTCTCGAACGTGGTCGTAAGCAACTTGCGAGTGGACAAGGGTTGAGAGTAGATTTTTCGGCTAGTTGAAAACATTCGCCGCAACACAATGACGATGCGAATTTTCAACGGAGCGCCACAGAGACCTGAATCGTGACGGCAGCCACCGGCGCAGGCGTTGTGCGATATTGCGACGACAGAAGAAACAGCGAACACAAGAGACGAAGATGGATGGCAGCGATGAGGAGCATTTGCTCACCCTGTCGGTAGAGGAAGACCACGGGTTGTAGCAGTGGTTAAACGAGCTAGCCGGCACAGAAGCAGAGTCGGCAGACTCAGCGATTATACAAGAAATCGAGCAATAGTTCTAAGAAGATGCAGCGCAGCCAGCAACACTACCAGATGGCTGGCGAAATTTTATCGCCATAAACCCGGTGCCGAGGGAACTGGTAAGGGTCGTCGAAGAGCGCCTTTAACGGTAACCAAGAAGACGCATACGCATTACAGGAGCAGGGGCGGTGATGATCACGCGTCCAGAGGGGTATAAAGTGGGGTGGGAAGACTCCGGGCCTTCAGTAATAAGTAAGTTATATGTAAAAGGAAATAAGCAAAATATTAGCAACAATATTATTAGGATAACTGTCTGCCAGCAAATATAATTTGAACTCACTTCTCGTAGAGTAGTCGTATACTCCAGTCGCTCGTGCAAACGCAAATTGGAACGGCTAACCAACGATTGTGAAAACTAAGTCGCTTAGTAGGTAGTTAGGTTATATGGTGTGACGAGAAAACGCTGCCAACTAAATAGGTAAATAAAGGAGCGTCACAGTAAGAATCATTCGCGTATTTATTTAAATGTTTGGATAGGGGAACCCAATATCCGACTGAGCCATAGCCGAGCCGGATCAACTTTATGATTATTTTTTAGAGAATTTAATGTCCTACAAAAATTTACCAACAAAAAAATTGTTATCACAAACGGTTCAAAAGAAATTTTTTTTACATGTTATTTATATGGAAAATTTCAAACGCGCTGCGACACCTTTTAAAATTGGACTAAAAATTTCACCAAATGGCAGAATTTTCTTTTCCGTAAATATGTCCTTTTAAGGCCATAAATACATACACACATATAATTTATATGTATAAAAATGCCATAAACGAAAGCTACCAATCAAAGCACATTTCTCTTTCATCGTCGACCGTGTCACTACTGTAGTGGTGCTACATCAAAGTTTACGCAACAACGCCTTCATCAAAATCATAGATTATTTCTGTAATGAGAATTTTTCTCAATTCTCATTCAAATTCTAAAACACAACAACACTACTTGTGTGAAAAATAATCGGAATTCTTAGTTCAAGCAAAGGAATGTCGGAGGAACAATAAAGCAGACTACGGAGGCGAAGAACTAAGTAGTGGAAAGTAAAGCAAAAAAAGAGCTAGCTGAGCGCAGCATTTTTAAAGCCAATGAATGCAACGTTTGCTGGCGAGTGAGCAGGAAAATTGCATTTAAGGAAGCAAAAAGGTCTTGGTCTGAGCATAAAAGCAGCTGATTGGCTGAGGAGCAGACAAAGAAATTCGCAGAGACTCTGTGCGTGTAGAAATGTATATGTGTGTGTATTATAGCTCAGCTTAAGCGTAGGATAAATGACATGTTCTGCGGCATCTGACAGCTGGAAATAAATTTCACTACACCAGTTTTGCTTAGCTGCCACTGCAATGCGTCGGGATTTATGCCTTCCACCAACATTTTGCATACGAACACAGAAACACACATATACATATAAACGCCTTTGAGCTGGCATGCTTAAGAAGTCAGTAAGAAGAATACTGCTTTCACATACATATACGGCACATATACGGAACACACACACTTATATACATATACGTGTAAGCAAAAACACTTTAACCGACGACTACTCGCCTGCAATCTTTCGCCGCATTTCTCATTCTTCTATGTCTTCTTTTCTTGAATTCAAAATACACACTACAACAACAGCAATAACGTTAACAAAGCAAAATGCATTCGCATGCAAAAGTAAGTTGACAGAAAACAGTTTATGCACACAGCCACACATACATACATACTATGTGCGTACACACTACCCTTTGTCTGTATATATGTATTTTAACAAGCAGTTAGTCGGCGCTTGAATGCGATTAAAAAGAAATATGTTCGACTGACTCGTTCGTAGCCACTCCGTAAAACCACACTCAAATAACTGACTACTTACACTTGTCCGCCAGTGCGTATGAGTGTTGTTAATTATATGTATGTAAGTACTACTACGCCAGCGCACACAGCCACAAACGCACTTATAAGGTGTGTATGTGAGTAGCTTTAAGGCTCATAAATAATTTCTGTTTGTATTTATAAGTTGTGGAATTTGTAAGCGGTTGTAAATTAGTTATGAGCGCGGAATTAGCTATGTGCGTGTATATTTGTGAGCAGAGTAGAGACTTTGGTGCGTATTAACGGTTAATGTGTGGGTAATTAATTACTTGTACGCAGCGCTTCGCGTACTACACTAGCATTAGGATGTTTTACCAAAAGAGTTTCGGTTTCCCCAAATGGCATCATGACATCGGATATAAGTGTGCAATTTGGAATGCCAGCAGAGCTTAAAAAACCAATTCAGTGAGTTTCTGAGCGGACCCCGGAGTTCAAAACATCTGGAAAAAATAAATATTTCACCACTAAAATGTATGACAAATACAAATTTTCAACTTTCAAATAATTTTTTTTTTCATAATTTTTAGGCAAAAAACCGACTTCAATTGTCATATAAAAATTTGAGGACAAAAACTCAAAAACGGCTAAACCGATTTAAATAATTATGTTTAGCATTTTTATTGAGCTTTGTACCACAATTTGTTTGTGTAACAAAAAATTATTACTATTTTTTTTTTTTGGTTTGGAGAGTTGCCACCTATTTAGCAAAAATTTATATTCACTAAATTAATGAAATAAATAAAATATTACAATTCTGGTATCAAACTAATGAGGTTTAAGAAAGTTTATTTCAGAAAACGTTTTTGAAGAGAGTTGCCACATGTTTAAAAAAATTTATTCACATAAATTGATAAGGTAAATGAAATGTTGCAAAATAGGTGTCAAAATATGCTGGAATAGGAAGGCTTAGGTTCTAGAATGTTTTTAAATAGGGTGGCCACCCGTTTGCAAAATTTTATTCAATTAAATCGATAAGGTAAATGGAGTGTTGCTAAACAGATGTCAAAGTAAACTGGATTAAGAAAGCTTAATTTGGAAAATATCTTCAAAGAAGCTTGCCACCTGTTTGAAAAATTTAATTCTAATTAAATGGTATGATAAATGAAATATACCAATATGGGTTGCCAAATTAAAGTGGTTGAGGAAAGCTTATTTTCTAAACGTTTTTTAAGAGGCTTGCCACCTGCTTGAAAATTTTAATTTAATTTATATGATAAATAAAATATTAAAATTTTTGGTATCAAACGAAAGGTATTGAAGAAATCTTTGACTTGGAAATATTCTGCAATAATGTGTTCATGAATTATGAAATGTTCACGAATAAAAGAATATTGAAACAAAAAAATCTTACAAACGCAAAAAATAATAATAACTTTAAAAAATATTACAATCATAATATGAAAAACATTTTTTATTGGCTATTAAAAAAAAATATGGTGGCTATTGAGCGATATACTGAATTGCCTTTTTTTATTACAAAAACGGGCGAAAAAATTGATCGGCAAATCTAAGGCCTGGAACAAAAAACCAAACAAGTTTTAATCTACTTACATACCATTCATAAATTGTATATATCTTTTTTTAATTGTATACAAAAAGTCCAAGTCGATATCTTGAAAAAGAGGTAGAATTTTTGAAAGTGGAATTTTTGAAAAAAATATAGAATTTTTAGAAAAAAGTCGAATTTTTGAAAAAAAATTGTGGTAAATTACCTACAAAAATTTTAACATACAATCTAAAAACGGCTTCCTTAAAATTACTTGGTATAGTTTTCACCCTAAAATAAAAGAAGTCCTACAGAGACGGAATCATAAAATAGGCCCAGGCTTGTAATTGGATTTAAGAACTGTTTTTTTTCGCATTGAGCGTGAGCCTCCCTAGTCTACACTCATACAGCATTTGCAGGCAGCACGCGAACTAAAACTCGCCATATGTGTCAACTATTTACTTATGAATCATTTATCATTAGTTACTATTTTAGGATTTGTTATGCTAGGGATTCAAATTGTTTTCATGTCTTAAGTTGATAGCTGACATGAGCGCAAATCAGTGCGCTGCAGTGTAGCAAAAAAAAGCATTTAATTGTAACTATTTTTTTATCTGGGCTGAATTTTAAGTCATCTATGCTGAGATTTTTTTTGGAAGCCACTGGAGACTTTTTAATGCTCACCAAAAAGTAATGCCAACGGAAAAATGAAATTTAACTTTTGCTGTAACTCGTTAAATTTTGAATATTACTGAAAAGTCTTTGATTTCTATAGCAGAAAAAAAGTTTCATAAATGGGCAACTAACAGTTATCATAAAGACAAGAGTCACCGGGGCTAGACCTGAAGGATAGGGAATGGGGTGGGGATTTAAGTCCACCCAACCTACCTGGGCTCACTAAATCTTTTGAGAAGCATTGTGTATCGTGTATTGATCGCCTGTCATAGAAGTACACCCAATACCACTATTATTATTAATGAAACATTTTTCCACATTGATTATCCTACTACAAAACACTGTAATATTTTTTAATGGCTACCCGCAAACTACAAACACAACTAAATATTTATTCGGAAAAATCCAGAGCAAAAGTTGAATGCCCTCCAGAGTACACACGACACATTCATTGTGTAGGTACGTGCAACTGTATTAGATGGTCAGCATGTGCCACGCTCTTTGACACCTTTTTTCTCTATGTGGTGCATATGTATGTATGAAGCGTAAATAAAAACTTGCATGAAAAAGCAAACAAACAATGCCCGGACAGGTGGGTAATACATTTCAGTGCATAAACGTACATACATATGCGTGTGTAAGATATATCAAGAAAAATGACAGCGTTAACACCTGCTGTTAAATACATACATATGTATACAACTAAAATGTTCAACTCCATACGTATGTATGGGCATTATTCTACATACAGTTGCTTGCAGTAGTTGTTCATACTAGCCGGTAGTTACGATTGCGTTCTTTCAACCATGACTTCCCTCATTTTAAATGCGCTTTGTGTATGCTTACATAAAAGCATAAGTACATATGTACGTAAATGTAAACTGGGCTCAAACGTGCTCGCAAGCAAATAAAAGCATACACACGGAAGACCTTAAAAGGAAATGACAGAGGTGAAAAGATCTTTACAAAGGTGCTAAACGTCAGCCGGGCAGTTATTGGCTTGAATGCCTTACAAAGGCTAGCGTTAAAATGGAACTGTGTCCCCAGCAATGTTCTTCTCAATAATAAATATGGCGACGCCGTGTGAGCTAGTATGAGTGCTCTACATACATACATGTAAAGCAATGGAACAGTTTTAGCTGATGTATAGTGGGAATGCCACTCGCTTAGATATTTCGACTAACTTTGGAGGGAAAAATTCCGCTCATTTTTTAATCGCTGCAAATGACAGGTGTTCGATTAAGGCGACGCTTTTATTTTTATTTTAGTGCTTTATTTTATTTCATCATCAACATCTTTTTCGTAACAATTTGCTGATTGTATATGTATGTATAACCTTTTTTTATCTACAGTATAATTTATTTTATTTTATGTTTTCAATTTATGTGTTTTACTTCTTCTAATTTCAACTCAGTGTTTGTATTGTTTTTTAATTTTTTTTTCATTTTATAACTTAGTTCATTTAATTTCATTTTGTGTTAATTGATTTAATTTTATGTTACCTATTTCTTATTTTTTTTTAGTTTTCTGCTTTATTTTTTAATTTGGTTTTATTACATTTTTTTATTTATTCCACCTTGTTAATTTATTTATTTTTTTTCATTCTGTATTTATTTTTACTTTCTTTCATTTTTATATAATTTTATTTTTTACAATTTTCACTTTTTTCTTTTTTTTTGTTGTTTGAATTTCGTTTTATTTTTATTTTTTTATCTTTACGCTAGTTTTTTTTTTGTATTAGTTCTATTTTCTTTTGTATTATTTTTTATCTTCTCTTTGCTTTCTATTTTGTTTCTCTTTATTTTAGTTTCTAGTGTAAAGTTTATTAATTTTTTTCTGTTTGGTTTTGATATATTAAATTTCTTACTTTAGCTTTATGTAGTTTCTTAAATTTTTTATTCAAATTGATTTACATATTTTTTATTTTTTCCAGGTTTTTAATTGTATTTCATTTCAATTTTATTTTTATAAACACCTACTACGTATAAAATAGTTCTTTCAATATTTTTATTTTTGTTAAATTTTGATATATTTTTATTTTTTTATTTACTATTTTTTGCACTTTTTATTTTTTACCAATTTTTTAATTTTTTTCACTGTCATAATTAAATTTTATTTAAGTTTAGTTTTTTATTTTTTAAACTTTTTCATTTTATTTATTTTTTGTTAATTTTTTTATTATTACTTTATTTTCTAATATACGTACTACATACATATTACATTTTATTTTTTTCAGTCTTCAATTTCATATTGGATTTTCATTTAGGAAAGAAAAGAAATTCAATCGTTAGTGCATACAACAATAACTTTTCGTTGATTCATTTTGTCGATGTTTACGTTTGATGATTTATTTCGTTTCAACATTACCGATTGAGTTTTATTTCGTTAATTTAGCTCTGAAACGAAAAGAAGTTATTTTGATCAGTTATTTTTGCGCATCAACAAAACGAAATCGATACTCTGCAGAAACACATACAAGGGTATGCATATTGGCAAACACATCAACACAAACCAAGAAACATGGCCGCCATATAAATAACCCAGTTCCATTAGGTGCATTGACTTTAGACTGTCTTTAAATCCACACCCACCAGCCACAAAACCGCCACATAGCAAATGCAAACGCAACCGCAACCACAACAAGCTTTTTTAGCTACTTTCATCGTAGCTAAAACTAAACAACCACAGTTTAGGTTGTCTTCTTCATTTTCCTCTGCTTGTATTTATTCCCTGCGGCCTTTTGTAGTTGAGTCTGCAATTTCTATTCGTCACTCAATTAAATACATTTGCGCTAATCAAATACGAAACCCATATTTATATTTATTGGTGAGCGCAGATCAACGTATGAATGCATATACTATTTACATAGTATATACAACTAAGCAAATACACATATATAAGGTAAGCAGGCTTGTCACTTTCGCTAACGGTTGCACAAACATTAACGTTTCTAAACAAATTTAAATAACTTTGCGGTTGATACAGCCAATACAGTTTTAGCTGTTGGCATATTTGCATTTGCGCTTGATATTATCCAAAAGGATGAAAATAATTTATAAACTCAATAATACTATAGCAAGCATTAATGAGCTATATACTCGCAAACGCATATCGCTCGCTTAAAATGCTGCTATCTAAATGCAGTTCGACTTATTGAATGCAAAAATAAAGCAACATGACTTCTGGTCATATTGTGGCTTGAAATTTAAAGGGTCTTAATTATGGTAGTTACTATTAAAAAAAAAATATAGTGATATAAATTCGCTGTTCGACACGTCAATTAATCAAAATTAATACTCATATTTCCGTGCGTGTATTGCCACAAATTATTTTAACGAGTTTTAAATATTTTCAATAAAATAAATTACACTATTTACTACCATTATTATTAATTACAGAGTTTGCTTTGTCATTAAAAACTATTTAATCAATCCATTTACTCATACATTTGTACAAGAAATTGTGCGTGTACAAATGTATATATGTAGTTATGTACACGTTCAGTTACAATTGCTTTTTAGTTTGTAAATAACTCAGTAAAAATGAAATATGCAAGTGCTAAAGCTTGTGGATGGCCATAATTAAAACTTTAAATATTTGTGGAAACAATTTATTAAAAGAGATTTTTTGTTAAATGTTTTGATTGCAAAATTTATTACTAATATGCTATACATTCATATTGTAAAGATGAATGTGTGTGTGGCAAGCGACGAGTGCATGCGAAGTGTGCATACATAATTAATATTCGTGTGTCCATTACGTGCATACATAGAGGATGCGTATATGCCATGTGGTGCCAACGAAAGTTATGGGCTAATTGATATTGTAATACATATACATTAGACTGCATCACCAAAAAAAAAGTTGCAGTTTTTCCGCCGGGATTACAAAATTTATTATATTTTAAGACGTCCACCAAAATATTTCGGAAAAATATTAAGATTTAAGTGAGCTGGACCAATTTGAAAATACCTCCAAAAACTGAGTTTTTTATGAATAAAAATAGTTTCTTAAAGAACTTTTTAAAAAAAGTCCCCTCAGATGACTAAACAGATAAGGCTAAAAAAATCTGCATAAAAATATTTAAAAATCTTTTCAACGGAATCGTAATAATGAGATTTTTGGTGCCTTTTTTTTACCTTTTTCAAAGATTGATTTACGAAAAACTTAAATAACTGGGCCAAAACTATTCTGATTTAGACTTATGGTAGAAAGGTATTTTTCCACTATTTTTATTTATGTTCCAAAAAAAGTCATTCGTGTCCCAATTTTTTTTTTTTAAATACCAACACATCTAAGTTCAACTTTGAATGATTTTCGTTCATCCTACCTTTCTCTTTCATCCTTTGAATAAGCTTATTATTATTATTATAAAAAGGATGAGAAAATACCTTTTCAATGATACCTCACAAGTCTAAATCGGAAGAGTTTAGGTTCAGTTTTTTAAGTTTTTCTTATACCAATCTTTGAAAAAAGTTAAAAAACAGCATCAAAAATCTCATTATTATGATTCCGTTCAAATTTTATTTTTTTATGTAAATTTTTTGAGCTTAATCCGTTTTATCATTTGAGGGGATTTTTTCAAAAAACATCTTTAAGAAACTATTTTTATTCATAAAAAACTCCATTTTTGGAGGTATTTTCAAATGGGTCCAGCTCGCTTAAATATTAATATTTTTCGGAAATATTTTGGTGGACGTCTTAAAATATAACAGATTTTACAATTCCAATGGAAAAACAGTACCGATTTTTTTTTTGTATGGGGAGTGATGCAGTCTAATATACATACAAATGTATGTATGTATGCATGTATATTCATGCATACATAAAGCACATGTGAATCAATTTCATTGTTGGCGTTGAGAATGTCAGCAATATGTACTTTAATTTAAATAAATATTAAAGTTATTGAATTTTTATAAATTTGATTTAAAATAGTCTAAGCAAAGTTAAGTAAGTTATACATTAGCATTATAAAAATTACATGCATGGATGAATGGATAAAATCAAAATCGAAATGAAATAGTGTAAATCCAAAAGAAGGAAATTTAAAATAAGGATAAGAACAACAATGCAGGTAAGGATACGAATAAGATAAGGATAAAGACAAGGATACAGATAAGTATAAGAACAAAGATAAGGATAACGACAAAGATAAGGATAATGATAAGGATAAGGATAAGGATAAGGATAAGGATAAGGATAAGGATAA